TAGCCTCACATTCATTCAACACATATGTATGGAGTGTGCCAGGCGTTAGGCATTGTGTGTGCCTGAGATGCCAAGCTGAGTAAAAACAGACCAAGTATTTGTCCTTACGGAGCCTGCAGGCTGGAAGGGGGCTGGTCATTCAAGTAAGTAAAAAATTAAGACTGTCATAAAGGGCTTCAGAAAAGTACATAGTTCTTTGAGAATGTGTATTTTGGCTTATCCTCGGGGTCAGGAACAGCTTACTTGAAAAAGGATGGCAGAATTGAGATCTGTTCAATGAGCAAAGGTTAAACAGATAAAGGAGGGGAGCTTTTTAAGCAGAAGAAAGATCAGATGTGTAAGCTCTGGCAGGACTCTGGCAAGCTTGAGGAATCCAAGGAAGCCAGTGTCTACTTTGCAGTGTTGTTGTGAGGATTAAATAATGCACGTAAAGTAGGTGCAAATGTTGGCACCTTATAAGCATTCAACAAATGCTAGTTACTATACACAGGATCAATATAAAGCCCCTTACTGATGTGATGTGGTAGCAGGAGTCCCTAGACAGTGGCAGTACCCATAGAAAAAAGCAGTTTGGAGATCCCTGGATGCTGAGAGCTGGAGGTGTGTGATCAAGGGAGGGTCTCTGTAATACATGGTGGGTATAGGGAGTAAGGTTCAGAATGAAAGCAGGGGCTGTGAAAATAGTCCAAAACAATCTTTCTTTTCTAGTTCAAGTTAGCACATCTAGGCAAAATTAGAATTATCTTATTTCTTTAACTTTAAAACACATTAGAAATGTCTTATTAAACTATTAATTTGCAGGAAATTTAGAGGATAGAGGAATAAGTTAAACTATACCACAAAGATGTGATTAATAAAATCCAGACTATGGGAAACTCTACAGGGCAAAAACCTAGCTTCTTTAATAAAAATCTGAAGGAATGAAAAAAAAAGACATAGAAAGGAAATCTCCATGTGTTTTCCAGTATTATAAGGCAAGTATTATATATAATCCATATATATAATATATATGTTCTATATCATATGTATTATTCCCAGTATTATACAAGGACATCTCCATGTATCTCCTAATATTATACAAGGCAAAACTACAGAAGAAGTCTTAGTTCCTATCTTTGAGAATCTCTGATAATAATATTTGCCTGAACTTAACTACTAAGAGTATCTGCTCCTGTTTGAATTAAATTCAATATTGCATCCTATATAAACAATTTCCTATATTACATTTTGAATAAGAAGAAATCAGACTAGGTAAAATGATATTGTGATTAAAGTCTACTGTGCTTATATTTCCAAAAGCAATTTTGATTTTCATAGATCTTGCTTTTTACCCTAGGAATCCATTTCAACCAATAGCTCTGATCAAAGGTTTAAATGTAAATTAATTCTAATTAAGAACAAAATCTTTTCCAAATTGAGATATACACAAAAGAGTAAATCATTATATCTGGCTGTTCTTTATGTGTTCATGCCCTCTTTCATTCATTCACCCAGTAAATATTTACTGAGCACTTTCCATGTGCCAGGCTCTGCTCTAGGCACCAGTGATGCAGCAGTCAGCAAAAGAGGTAAAAATTCTAGGCCCGCAGGGAGCCTACTTCTGATGTGATGAAGAGGAGGAGAAATGTAATTTTTAAAGAAATATTTAAATGGACCTATAACATATCAAGTAATGACAGGCACTGTGTGGAAGACTTCAGCAGAGAAAGATGATAGAGAATTAAGAATATGCATGGTAGGGGATTACTGTTTCAGAGAGGACAGATTGGGAAGGCTGCTGGGCTGGGATATTTTAATACAGATTGGAATAAAGTGAGAAAGCAAGAAGAGCAGAGGGAATGCTTAGTGCCAAGTCCCTCAGGTGGCAGCATACCTGGCACATTCATGAAAACAGTGAAGAGGCCAGTATGGCTGTACCAGAGTGGATGGGTACCATGGTTATGAGCATGTAGCCTGAGGGGAAGCAATGCCTTAACCCAGGCAAAGCTGTCTGGAGATTCCAGAGGAGGAACCCAGGAAAGTGCTCATAACAAGATCAGTTTTAACATCCTCTGGGGCCAGAGGAAACACTCTAGGTGACATCAACTCCTATCTGCCTCTTACCTCTGATCTCTTGTCCGTGACCCCTCTCCTGGAGGAGCTAGACCCTATTGATAAGGGTCAACTATGTTGCAACCAACCAAGCTGCAGTTAAGGGAGAGGACAATCTTAACTTTAAATAAAGTTTTTTTCAGAATTTTAACTACCACATGGCATGAGAGTAATCTTAGCACTAAAGTAATCAGAGGACGTTTTATTATCTTAGGCTGACTACAGAAATCCCAGGGTCTGCCTGAGCATCCATTATCCAATGACCCAGAGAGAAAACAGCCTGGTGGTAGGTTTGCAGGAGCTGCTGTGAGAAGGAGTCAAGATTGTTCTGTGTGATTACACCTGATGGCATTTTGCTTCTATGGTGTAATAATTTATGTAAGGATTTTAAGAGTAAAAGAGGGGCAGCAGATTTGCCATTTGTAACGTTAGCCAAACTCAGTCTGGTTTGTTTGTTTATTTTGCCTGCTTAAAACATGCCAGAATATTAGGACAAAATTGAACCCTCCTTCATTACTTTTTACTTTTTATTAAGTTACACATTAGCTTTTTGATTGCTAAGAATTATTTTCTGAAAATATTTGAGTACTTGCAATTCCTGTTCCTAGATGTATATCTACTTAATGATAATCACTCTCTTCTGAAAGCACAGTGAATGACAGTATTTTACAGTTAAAATAAATGGTTATATGCCAAATGAAAGCAGACACTATAGTTAGTCAAGCTGATTCATCAAAAATACACACACACACACACACACACACACACACACACACACACTAAAGTCGAATCAACTGTCATCTTTTAGTGATGACTGTTGATCTGATGTGATGAGAGAAAGTTCCTGCACGTGGTTAGGTAGACTCGGCTCCTGGATGCTCTGGAACGTCGTTAACTCATACAGACTGATTCTGGCCCTGGTTCAAACTTCTAAGCCTTTGTTCTTGAGGCTCAGAGGATGGCTTTGAAGTTCAGGATAAAGCTCTTCTAACACACCATTACCAAAGAATAACCTTTTGATTATGATCTCATGAAAGTATAATCAATAACTTACATAAGTTAAAACCATGGCAAACAGTGACGGTTCTGTAATTGGGCTTTTATGAATTCCATATGTTATGATCTTTGCATTAGCGAACAGTCCTGCATAGTACACATATCTCTTCCCCAAACATAGCTGCTGAACTTTCTTAAAAGGCTATGAAACTTTTCACAGCTACTGTCAGCCTTGAACTCTTCAGACCCCTAAGCGTGGGTGTAGTACCTAAAGGGCAGGATTTTTGGAAAGCCTAAAAGGATAAATATTTCCCCCAGATCCAATATACACTCATTTGTGTAAAGCAATTTAATTGAAGACAGTAACTTTTTACCTAATTGCATGGCTTGTGTGCTTTGAAAAATATATACGGGGAAAAAAAGACTTTTCCAACAAATCATTGTTAAAATATAAGTAAAAATATATTCACTTAGCAAAGGCATGCTGTCATGTGAAGATCTCAAATGTCTGGGACCTGGCTAGGAAGCCATTATGTCATTAACTACATTATCTAGGGTTTGTATTTGCTTTCTCTCTCTGATTAAATGAAATTGCATTATTAGCAAATTAGAAATGTGGGTGTTTAGCATAGCTTGATTGCCTTTACTTTGGGAGGAAGGGCAGTATGCATGGAAAAAAAACAAAACCAACAGAATTTTCTGATCTATCTGAGGGGACAACAAAGAAGGCTGAATTGAATGAGCACTTAATGACAGAATAAGATATCCAAGGAAAGATTAGTCCCATCTTTTTGGACTAAACATGAGATCTTTGAAGAGAGATGAGTGTATAAAGCCAAATGCAATAAATAAAGAGGGTACACATCAAAGGAGTTATTTTTGTGTCTTGGTTTCTTCCTTTTCAATAACTCCCCTCCCACTTCCCACTCCATCATTACCTTAGTCAATTTTGTAACCTGTTGTCATGGATTTTCCTGCCCCTCACCACCACCACCACCACCACCCCCACCTCCTCTTCCTCCTCCTCCTCCCTCTTCTTCTTCTTCCTCCTCCTCCTCTTCCTCTTCTTCTTCTCTTCCTCCTCCTCTCCTTCTTCTCCTTCTTTCTTTTTTTTTGAGACAAGGTGTTTCTCTGTCACCCAGGAAAAAGTGCAGTGGTGCAATTCTGACTCACTGCAGTCTCCATCTTCTGGGCTCAAGCCATCCTCCCACCTCAACCTCTGCAGTAGCTGGGACTACAGGTGCATGCCACCACACCAGGCTCATTTTTGTATTTTTTTTTGTAGAGGTAGGGTCTTACTATGTTGCCCAGGATGGTCTCAAACTCCTGGGCTCAAGCAATCCTCATGCCTCAGGCCTCCCAAAGTACTAGGATAACAGGTGTGATCCACTAGTGCCCAGCTTAAATTTTTCTTTATTTTTGGAACATATTTGAGAGTTACCAAAGCTACTTTTGAGCAAATTTGTGCATCTTTAGATTCTCTAGTTCAAAATAACACTGCTCAAGCAATCCTTGTGACTCTACTGCCACTATGGAACTTTTCCTCTTGTAAATATGTTAGTAGCTTTCAAATTAGAATTACTGACTCACGATGCATTCATTGTACTCATTTGCATTAAAATATGATATTTGGCCCCATATCTCCTCTATTTGATTATAATTCCTAGAGGCAGAGATGATAACTATTTATCAGTCTCCTTTTAATTGTCCATTTATTTTGTAAAGGTAATTTCAAATGTCTTACACACAAAAAAGGATGATCAAAGACCACTAACACCAAAGGGGAGAGACATCAGGCTTTTGAATATCTTCAGTTTGACTATTTTTAAAGAAAATATCAGTGAGTTTGTTAGGGTCCTACTTGTAATAGAGGGAAACAAGTTACATAAAGAAGAAAAGGAAAGAAACAGATTGTCCTCACTTCAACAACACATAAACTAAAATTGAAATGATACAGAGAAGATTAGCATGGCCCCTGTACAAGGATGACATGCAAATTTGTGAAGTGTTTCATATTTTTCAAAAATTAATTCAAGATGGAATAAAGGCTTAAATGTAAAACCCAAAACCATAAAAACCCTAGAAGAAAACCTAAGCAATACCATTCAGGACATAGGCATGGGGCGAAGACTTCATAATGAAAACACCAAAAGCAATTTCAATAAAAGCCAAATTTGACAAATGGGATCTAAATAAACAAAAGGGCTTCTGCACGGCAGAAGAATCTATCAGAATGAACAGACAACCTACAGAAAGGGAGAAAATTTTTGCAATCTACCCATCTGACAAATGGCTAATATCCAGAATCTAAAAGGAACTTAAACAAATTTACAAGAAAAACAATCCCATCAAAAAGCAGGTGAAGGATATGAACAGACACTTTGAAAGAAGACATTTATGCAGCCAACAAACCTATTTAAAAAAGCTCATCATCACTGGTCATTAGAGAAATGCAAATAAAACTACAATGAGATACTACCTCACACCAATTAGAATGGCGATCATTAAAAAGTCTGGAAACAACAGATACTGGAGAGAATGAATGAATGTGGAGAAATAGGAACACTTTTACACTGTTGTTGGGAGTGTAAATTAGTTCAACCATTGTGGAAGACAGTGTGGCAATTTTTCAAGGATCTAGAACCAGAAATACCATTTGACCCAGCAATCCCATTATTACATATATACCCCCCAAATTATAAATCATTCTACTATAAAGACACATGCACATGTATGTTTATTGCAACACTATTTATAATAGCAAAGTCTTGGAACCAACCCAAATGCCCATCAATGATAGACTGGATAAAGAAAATGTGGCACATATACATCATGTAACACTATGCAGCCCTAAAAAATGAGATCATGCCCTTTGCAAGGACATGGATGAAACTCAAAGCCATCATTCTTAGCAAACTAACACAGGAACAAAAACCTAAACACCGCATGTTCTCATTCAAAAGTGGGAGTTGAACAATGAGAACACATGGACACAGGGAAGGGAACATCACACACCAGGGCATGTCAGGGGGTGGGGGGCAAGAGGAGGGATACCATTAAGATAAATACCTAATGCATGCAGAACTTCAAACCTAGGTGACAGGTTGACAGGTGCAGCAAACCACCATGGCACCTGTATACCTACGTAACAAACCTGCATGTTCTTCATATGTAACCCAGAACTTAAAGTAAAAAAAGAAACAGATCAATAGAAAAAACTGAATGTATCCAAATAAGCAAGGCTAATGTACTCTGATTCATGATTTGTGTGGATGCATGGAAACTAAAAGCTCTGAAAACTGGGCCTCTTTTTTTCTTTTTTAAGTCTCTGAGAGCTATACATCAGTCAATATCAATATTTGTTTTCATGGTTCTATTAATAGCTAGATGAACAACCTAGACATCAACATAGAGCCACAAGATGCAAGTCATGCCATACTAAATTCATGTCTTTGCTCAAAAAAGAGGACAGGAAACAATAAAGATATCTACCTCCATTTCAAAATTGATGGTGATTCCTTCCTAAATGGCATAGTTATAAAATGGGAAATCTAGCCTCTACCATCCTAGGGAATGGCTAAACAATAGATTTAAGAGCCACACTCAAAGTAGAAGCCAATGTCAGCCTGGTGACACATTGGGTGGTATTTTATTCAGATGAGTCTCAGAAGTTAATCTATTAGATATTCTTGTTAGAATATCTAACTTAACTTTGAAAAACACAATATGAAGATGCTCACATTGCCTATTTTTTCTCCTACTTTTCCCCACTTCCAAGTCTTACCACGTTACTTTTATCTATGTTATTCTTCCTGATCTCTCCAAAATCACTTTGTTTCAAAAAATCAAATCCTTCCTCAACATTTATTCCTAAATTATCTCCTGCCCAGAGAGTACATCTTTCCACAGAACTCCTTCTGTTGCCATTTGTATAATTATCTTAGCATTACCTTTATGTATTTCTGTCTTTGGCGTCTTCCCTTAATTTTCTTTGGTTGTATCATATCACTTCATGTGATGTAATTAGAGGGAATTAAAATTTTAAATGTTCTGATATCATAGGGGAAAACACGTTTACTAAATGGAAGAAGTGAGGAAAGGGGGAGGAGTTGTAATTCTAAAACTGGGGGATTCTGGTGAAAAGAACTCATCTCCAAGAATGAGCCAAAGTTATAAAACAAATTAAGAGAAGGACAACAGCACACCAGGGTTAGTACATGTTGTGCTAGCATAATGTCTTTCCTGCCCCACAGGCTGTGGATAAAAGAAGTCAATTTATGAACACAGACTTTTACAAACAGGTTAACATAGAGTCAGGCCAATTTTTCAAAGTCATGTAAAAACAGTACTATTTTTAAACATATATATTATCTGACTGTTAAACACTTTTCAACTCTGTTTGAGAAATCTGTATTTGTAGTTCCTTTTGATGCTCTTGGAATGTCCATAATAAGGAATCTAGGAGAGCTTTGTAAATAGGCCAGTCTTCACAAAGCCCTTCTAAGGGAAAATAGCAGATCACAATACTTACAACACTCTAGAGCTGAAAAAATTCTAAGAGATCATATGGGGAAGTGAAGGACTAGGTAGGTTAAGTTACATTTCCAAAGCCCACCCTGTCAGGACTGGCTCAGAATGCTTTCGATGATATCAAATGGCCCCAACACTAGCCACTCCCGTTTTGCTATTGTTCAGTACCTACCATGTCCTGGGCACTTGCTGGGCAAAATGGATCATGGACAATACTGAGTCATCAAATAGTGCCTGCAACTAGCCCACTCAGCTACTGCCTCAAAATTGAACATTAAATTTTGTGTGTGTGTGTGTATTGGGCAACCAAAAACAGATCAATGGCCTTCCCCATAATCCATTCCAGAGAAAAACTGTAGGCAACTTTTTCTTTCCACATTTTATGGGACTGTGATATGGTGATGTCATAACCTAAGACTGAAGGACAGTGAAAAACTCTGCCTTGGTTGTCAGAAAACATGTGCTCTTTTGCCAGCTCTGTTGCTAACTCCCTCTGGGAAGTTGGTCATCAGTTCTAGTCCTTGGTTTCCTCATCTGAAAAATAAGGTGGTTGAACTAATCTTTAAGATTCCTTCCCTTCTAAGAGTTTAGAATTCTAAAGAAGCCGTTAGCAATTTCTTCCAAGATTTAATGTACAGTCCTGAACATTTGGGAAGAGAATAGAGCTCATTCTGCATACAGACCTGGTAGAGAATTGATGAGCTCAATATAGTCTTAGGTCTTAAAGTCCCAGCATAATTGTTCTGTACTCTTAGTGACCTAAGATTAAATAAGCAACCTTCTCAGAAACACATGCGAAGCTAGAAATTTGGTTCACAAATCTCTTTGGAGTTATATCTTTGCCTTTATCAATTCCTGATGTTATCAAAATGTATAGAAATTTTTTGATAGCCAATTTATGAGATGACTTAGGGTGAGCCAATGGGATGGTTGAGAATGCTTTCCCTACATCAGACCTGCCCATTTCCCTCCTGTTTGCTGCATGTTCACTGCAGCAGATTTCGCTCAAATAAGCTACGTGATGCTCCTGCTTTGAAGTGGCTACAAAAGATGCTCTGCAGCAGAGAGGCCAGCAGTCCATAAACAATAATTTGTGTCTACCTGCCAGGCTCCTCTTCTCCCACACTCTCCACCTTGAACTGTTTTATTCCATAGAGAACAAATTCAGCAGAAGTTAACAGACACTGCAAAGCCTAAAACACAGAGTATTTGTTCACATATCAAGACTCCTGGTTCAAGTGAAGCCAGTTCTTTGGCTGTCTGGCTCTTTCTCCAAAGACTCTCCTATGTCTATTCTTTCCTCTTCTTCCACTTGGACATACAGCTCTGGGAGCTCTGATTAGCAAGTTTATTTGCCTTTGTTTTGTAAGCACCCATAGGAGTGTACTTGTTAGCTCAGTTTCCTCATTTTTATACAATGTGTCATACATAGTACTCTTTCTCTTAAAAAGTGCTATTTTCCAGCCAGTAAGGACAATAACTCTTTAAGTTTTGAAGTTGATCTACTTGCTAATCCCACTCTACTTTGTCCTTAAGAAAACTGAAAAACATACCCTTGAGTGTTGGGAGAATAAATTACTTAGTGTATTTTAGAAATTTTAAAGTATTTATACAAAAATAAATGTTCCAAACTCTGTTATTTTAAAATATTTACAGATAAACTCATGTGTACATGTATATGAAGCATACAAAGAAACTCATAAAAATATTTTACTTGTTCGCTAAAAGTAGTAGAAAATATGCTTCCTTCCCATGTTCAAAAGGAATTACTTGGTTTATTTTTTTAAAATTACCAACTAGTTTTGTATTTGCAGGCTAGAAGTATACTTTATAATGTAGTGTCTATCTGATGGGTCACGTGTTCACAAATAGTCATCCCCATGCAAAGCCTTTTACCTTGAGGGATCTTAACAGCTCTGATGAAAAGGGAGGAGGATCACTCACCTACCACTTACTGATCTCCCACTGCCCCCTACAGTATAAAATTCCCACTGAGAAAAACTTGTCCTAACTGAACAAAAATGTAGGCACAAATCAACAATTATCAGTACTCCTAGGAAAGCTTCATTTGGAAGGTTTTTTTAAAAGCTACAAAAGCATACAAAAAAATATATTCTTATATAATTCTGCTAGAATTATGGAGTAGTCATTACAAGCCAATGTATGTGCCAAGAGCCCATAGAACGATCGGCAATTTGACTTAAAAATTCCACTTGTGGAACTTAGTCCTATGGCAGTAATCCTAATATGGATTGTATATATATATAATTTAAATAGGAGAATGTTTAAATAAACCACAGAATAGTGTCAAGTGTGGTGGCTCACACCTGTACTCCCAGCACTTTGGGAGGCTGAGGTGGAAGGACTACTTGAGCCCAGGAGTTCAAGACTTGCCTCGGCAACATAGTGAGATCCCATCTATACAAAAAAGAAGTAATAAAAGACACAAAATATTGTGAAGCCACTTAATAAAACCATACTTACAGAGTA